CCTATTACAATACTCTTTTCAGTTTTTGATTGTACACAGACATAGCTTTTATTTCACTTAGACCACAGCTTCATGGATGCAAAAGTACTACTCTGCAGACATAGAGGCCTGAGGGCTGTTTGTGGATATTGGCAAACAGAAAAATAGACTTTGAACTATAGTGGTGGTTATCTAGAAAAACCACCGAACTGAGGGTGGGGGCTACTTTCAAGCTGGTTTGCTAAAGGGTGCCGAGCCATCAGGCAGAAAATGCAAACATTAAGGAAGAAGTTGCTCATTTTTCATTCATCAAAGTGCCTGATGCTCATGCACGTTCACGCTGTGTGCTGCACTGAGGATGAGCGTGTTGGGATCGAGGATCCTCTTGACCAGAAGGGCAACAGACATTTACAGATGATCAAGTGATCACTAATTGGCTACGGAGCTCTGGGGCTGCGTGAGAGTAGCAAGAGCATGTTCTGACACAGCAGACGGCTGGCTAAAGGGTGGGTGTGGTAGTTATATAATCTGTTGTCAATTTGAGAGGATTATGAGTGTAGGGGTGGAGTCTAGCCTGTCAATCATTGTACAGCCAATGAGGCCTCTGTGTGGGCATGGCCTTCCCTTGAGGATTCTGGGAATTCCTGTATTTCCTCCTTGGAGATTCTCTACTGACAAGACACATGGCACTCCACCAATAGACCCTGTGCCCTGGGAACTGAAGGAGCCACGTGGAGACCCCTGCCAGCGCTGAGATGCTTCTACCGTCACTGGATCCACAAGACTTCCCACCCACTGGCCTGTGATCTTCCTGCATTCGGCGTCACTGCCTTTGTTTCGTGAGTCTGAAGAGGATTTTATATATTGATATCGGACATATGGGAAAATACTGGACTTATGGACTTGATCAGGACTGGGCTGGGATGTTTTCTCAATATTTCAACTGCTCTTGTATATAAAGCTCTTTCCTATACACATATTAGTGTCTTGTGAATTTGTTTCTTTAGTCTACCCAGACTGACACAGTGAGTGTAGATGAGGCATACAAAAATGCATGTAAGGCGAGTGTAGATGAGACATACAAAAATGCATGTAAGGCAAGCATGCAAACCCGGCTGATTCAGCATGGTACAGAAGACACATGCATGTCTACTGACGAGGCCATGTTTTGAGCTGTATAATGTGCTTGCATGGGTTGGAATGGACCCAGTGGCAAAGGGGTTGAAGCAGGGGACATGGACAATGCCATTCACGCAGGGCGGGTGCTCCCTGGGGGCCAGGACAGACTCTTTACAAGAACCACCACCCAGCTGGCGAGCGTACATCAGAACTGGAACTGTCTTGTTCTCGCCTGCGTGCACTCCATCATGTTACTGAGTGATTCACTTCAAAGAGCTGAGAGGGACACAGCCAAGTACTCAAGAACAAAAAGCTCCCCTGAAATGTTTACGCCTCACAGAAAACCCACAGACACTGAAAGGAGCAACATACCAGAGCAATTATTAGACTCTGTTTAATTGCAGGAAGGTATCCATGGGTATGGCTTCTCTCAACGACAGTCAAGTTGAGCAATCGTGTGTAATTACCAACCTACGTTAACACAGGTCTCACGGTGCCGGAAAAAACCTGCCCAGCCACCGCCAAAGTCGGGGCCAGAGCGCAGCCAGATTCACGCGGTGGAGCTTAATCACTGTAATTTGGTCTTTGTCACCAAGCAGGTACGAGCTCTTGTGTGCCCTGTCACGAGATCACCCCATTAATTGCTGTTCCTGTCTGCAGAGGACACAAACACTCTAATTTGCAGTGATTTTAGCCTTGCTGGAAATGTGCATTTGGTGGCTGACTCCTCTTTTGCCCCAGAAAAGGAAAGCTACTAAATCTCTGGTTATCCGACTCACCCTGCCAAGAGCAACAGGCTGCAAGCTCACCGGAGTCTTGAAAGAACGCAACTTCTTAACCCAGCAGCGGGTCGGTCTCCCTGCCACCCTCTCTGGAAGGTCACATTCTTTTTTCCTCTAGTAAGTTATTTCTAAATGATAATTTAAATGATTTATGCATGGCCAGAATGAAGCAGAACATTCAGATAATCCCTTGAGGCCTTCGGGCAGTCCCTGTCAGCAGATTCAGACCTGGCAAGCCGGGGAGCCCAATTCCAGGCAAGCCGGGGAGCCGAATTCCAGAGGACTCCATAGACAACCCCCCCCCCCCCCCCCCAGCCGATCTGCCAGATAAAGGCTCAGCCACATTCTCGTTGCTTTGGCCCCAGATGTCCAGTTCTGTCAACCTTATACCTTGGTAGTTCCTCCTAAGCAAGACCTCCGTGACCAACTTCCTTCTGTCCGCCTAAGCAGAGAATGAGCCGCCGCCAGAGCTGCCAGTGGAGGAGCATTCCTGAAGGGGTGCAGCCTCTCTCTCTCTCTCTCTTTCACACACACACACACACACACACACACACACACACACACGCAACTAAAAACCAAAGAAATACAAGTCAAGTCAAAGCCCTGAAGCCAGGTATTTGAAAACTATCCTGAGTCAACGTATGGCCTAAGTAAAGTCAGAGGAGACTGGCCAAAGCAGCAGCAAGCCAACGTCATTGTCCTGTACGAGGCCGAGCGGACGGCGTCCCGGGCAGGGGAACCACGAGGGAAGCGGAACCAGCATCTAGGAGAGGGTAGAGATGCTGTGAGTGTCAGAGCAACAGCAAGCTCATGGAGGGGAAGCACCAAGAGGTGGAAGAAGGGGGAGCGTGATGGCGGGCCAGGAGGAGGCAAAAGGAAACAGAGACAAGCTCTCGGAAGCAAAGGCACAGATAGGGAGATTAACAGAGGTGTGCACTTATGCAAATACAGTAATCCATAACAATAGTGGTGTTGGCCTATGTACCTATATTTATAAGGCGATACACTGAGGCTGCAGATGGGCCTTGGGCCTTGGCTCATACCTTCCCTCAATACAAGAACACTTTGTTCTAACAAATTGGCATTCTGTGATGCTCACTCCCACCTCCCCACCACACACACGTAGATGTGGTAAAGACAGACGATGGTGCCCAGCTATTAAAAATATATAGTGTCTTGGGTCTTAAAAGCTTGAAGCTAAACAAGCTGCCATCCAACAGTGAAGCAACAAGCCCACACGGAAGAAACACATCAGCAGGTGTGATTGTGAGGTGTCACTGAGACTGGGCAACAGGCATCAGAAGACTCACAACAAATAGTAAACAAACAAACAAAAATGCATTGGTGAGAATGGAGGGGGATTGGAGTGGAGACCTAAAGCCTGTCTATGGACAATGGAGCAACCCCCCACAGAAGGGTCACAGGGAGGGGGTGAGTCAATCAGGGTGCAGTAGAGCCCTAATGGGTCACGCAATATACCTCTGATCCCTTGAGGCCTCCTCACCCCACCCCCACCACTATCATGACCCCAGTGCCGCTTCCCAAACAGGAGCATGTATATAGGTTATCGGCAAGAGATAAAACACACAACACATGGAACCCAGAAACAGGAACAGGAATCGATACCAAAAGGGTAGGGGAAACGGGGGGAGAGGTGGAGAGGGAGGGGGGCACTGATCGCAATGAATGGCACATAACCACACACCCCCAGCTAGGGGGAAGAACAACAGAAACCAGAGGGGAAAGGAGACAGTGGTTGGTGTGAGATTTGAAGATAATTAACAATCTACAATCTATCGGTGGGCCACGAGGGTTTGGGGGGGAGGGGAAGGAGGGAGGGAAAAAAAGAAGAGCTGATCCTAAGGGCTCAATGGAAAATAAATGTCTAGAAAAGAACGATGGAATATATATACTAATACGTCGGATACAAATGATGTATGGATTGTAACAGGAGTTGTAAGAGCCCCCAATAAAATCAGATTACACACACACACACACACACACACACACACACACACACACATCCCGTGTGAGACTAAGCCTTTGATGCCTAGCTTCCAGTTTGGCTTTTCTCAAGATTTCCCTTCACCACTTGAATCAAACACCCCTCTTCTGAGTGCGTCAGGCTTGCTGGATCTCTGGAGGTAACGGAGGGCTTAGAGAGGTTATGTGCCTGGGCTCCCTGAACTCCCGTTTGGAAACGAAAACTAAATCGAGCTTCCCAGTTACTTTCTTAAGGGGGTAACAGTTAAAAGGACCCAGGCGGGGCAAGGTTGAGATGCTGCCACACAAGGTGATCAATGGCTGAGAGCAGGGAAACGGGCCCCAAATGACAGTGACGGGACGGGTCCTTCCCAAAAGGGTTTCAGGCTTCAGAACCCAAACAAGACCTGACACACAATATTTATATTGCCTGGTGGGATGTCTCTAAGGATGCTGGGAAGGTGGACGTGGCTATTCTTAAAGGCAGGTGGGAATGCCTCTAACTTTAACTACACTTTTCTGTTGGACTTCTCCCCCTCCCCCAGCACATCACTGTCAGGAGTCAACTGACGGAGGGGATCTACCAGGCAAACCCCACGGGGGCAGGTGATGTTCTCCGACGACAGACACACTCTGGAAAAGGATGCGTCACAGCACAAATAATGTCTAGTTCACCTTAACCACCCCCCTCTCTTTGGAACTATATAAATCTTCAAAAGGCGGCTCTGTGCTACATTCTCTGTGACCAGCGGAAAGTCAGAATTGCCAGGATACCTTTTTCCTCTCTGATTCTGGTAGGTCAGCAAAAACTTTTCTTTAAAAAAAAAAAAAGCAAATACAACGCTCACAATTTGAAGTGGGACATGAGGACCGTGAAGTTATTCTCCAGAGCATTTGGGGTTCCCTTGGATACAGTCTTTACTGAAGCAGATTCTCCCATGGGCCTGGTGGGCAGGTTCCCACCCATACCTTTTGGGTGCGCAGTCAAACGCTTAACCATTCGCACCACCCAGAGACCTCCCTGGCAACTAAAGTCGTTTCCACTGCATGAAAAACTCTCTTCCTAAATCTATTAGAGAGCCCAGCACAGGCGGGGCCAGGACCCCAGCCCGACGAGCAGGCTGGGAGGAGGGTTACCTTGTGTGGGAAGCGGCATCGTTGATGCTGAAAGTGCTGTTCTCCCGCGTCAGAGGACCCGCGCCCAGCTGGCTCTTGCTGTGGATATCCAAGCTCAGGGAAGACTCTGCTTTCTGGTCCAGGCCGTGGCTCTCTGCCTCTAAAGTCCGGTCTGCCAGGGAGATCACTTCACTGGAGCTGTGCCACAGGGGGGCCACTTTCTCCTTGCCGGGCCCGGAGCGCGGGGACGCCGTGGCAGCCCCGAGCGAGGCTGTGCTGCTGTGGCTGGGGCCGTAGGAGGTGGTGTCGATGCCGCTGTCCGCAGAGGTGCCCTGCAGATAGTTACAGCTGCTGAGTTCAGACTCAGGGTGGTCCCCATCATACCACTTGTCGTCACTGTGGGCGCTCGACGCGTTGCTGGAGAGGGTATTGCTACTGGAGTGGCTCGAGTAGTGGCTATCAGACTGAAAGGGAAGCAGGATTTACTTAAGTTCAGGTTTTGCTTCTAGAACAGCGGGGGAGGAGATGAAAACACTAGGGGACATCGAGGTCAGTTGGCGTAATGTACTTCACAAAGGCGATGTTCTACATTGTCCTTTGGTGACTAGCAACGGGGTCTAAAAAGCTTGTGAATGGCCATCTAAGGTGCAACTTTGGGGGTGGGGGGTTCTCTCTCTAGTAGGAGGAAGGAAGAGTGCTGAGAATCAAAAGAAACATGGGAACAATTAGTCCAACAGACTAATGAACCACACAAACCGTCGGTCTTGACTACCTTGAGACCAGAAGAAATAGATGGTGCCCCGCTCCCACTACCAACTGCCCCCACTACCATACCAAGCGTTCCAGACAGAGTGGTGGTGGGGCTGGGGAAACGGGGAACGAGCCTCAGCGTCATAAAAGAGACTGGTTGGACAGAGACCAGTGGAACCACCCAAACCCCATCCTTTAGGTTCCCCTCAGGCCCGGAAATAAACGCACCCTCCTGGCTTAATTTCCAGCCAAACAACTGACAGGTCTGTAAGGAGAATAGTAACACTACTGAGGTAAGCACACCTTAGCATAATCAAGCGTTTCAAGATCAAAAGAGCAGAATTTTCCAAGGACAAAGTTCAGAAGGGTTAGGACTGGAGGAAGAATGCAAACAGTAAGCACTAGGAGGAAGGATGATTGTAATGAATAAGACAAAACAAAATGACCCTCATCCAATTCACAGGAAAAGGTTTAAAATAAGAATAGGAAAACAATACAGCGAGATGTACCTAAATACAGGGAGTTCAGAAGGTACAAAAGTTTCAATGACAACAAGGTTAGGCAGAAGGTGCCTGGAGAAATGTGACTTTGAATGGCAAAAAGCCTATGGAATGTTTCAGATAATCCACTTTTCATTATTTGATTTATGCTACGTTAGCAGTAGTTATTGTGCTAACTTTCACAAGAAAGCTCATGAAATTGTGATTAAAATGTCCTTGATTATCTTAGTCTTAAAAATAAAAAGGCGCATCCCTGTTCGGTGCAGCATTATTCATGATCACAAAGACATGGAAACAACCTACGTGCCCATAAATGGCTGAATGAAAGCACTACGGTACATACATACAAGCAGACTATGACCCTGGGCCACATGCGGCCCACAGAGGACATTTATCCGGCCCGTCGGGTGTTTTTGCCCCATTTGTTTTTTTACTTCAAGATAAGATATGTGCAGCGTGCATAGGAATTTGCTCATAGTTTTTTTTTAAACTATAGTCTGGCCCTCCAACGGGTCTGAGGGACAGTGAACTGGCCCCGTTTACAGTTTGCGGACCCCTGCATATAAGGAACTATGATGCAACGTGAAAGAACACGGAGAATCCAAGAAACGTCTCATAACGTGGATGAACCAGAAGATAATGCTGAGTGCAATAGCCCGTCACAAAAGGGCACGGCTTGTATGAGTTCACCATGATAAACAGTCAAGAAAAGGTTTAAAGACAGAAACAGTTATCAAACAATTATGAGGGATAGGGAAAAAGGGAAGGAAAAAAAACACACACTAGGTAAGAAACATTAATTTGGGTAAAGGAAAAGGCAATATATAATAACACGAGCGCAGTATCATTAAAGAGAGAAGGAAAATGTGTTGCTTCCCATAAATAAAATATACAGTTATCTCCTTTACTTTAAAATGTCAGTATTAAATAAAAAGGAAATGACACAGCAAGTCTCACTCTTTTGGCCAAGCTGAAGTGAAAAAGAGAATGGCCCTCACCATTTACACGTGTGCCGGGCTCTACGTGCAGAGAACCCAGAATGGGGTAGAGAGGGCAGGCTGCACATAAAGCTAACCCTACCGAGATCTCCCTTCCCTTGCAGGTCAGCGCCTGATGAGAAGCGCTTTCTGAGGAGTCGGTCTCTCTGTTGTCCTGTGGTGGCTTGCGTGTTGCTCTGGTGCGGAAAGCTACGTCACTGGTATTTCCAAAACCAAGAGGGAGGGTCACACAAACCGAACAGTGTCTGGCAGGGCTTCCAGACTGAAAACAGACGAGGAAGAAGGAAGAGGCTGTCTACTTCAGCGGAGTTAGCCACTGAACACTCTGGGCAGAACCCAAACATTGCCAATTACTGACAATGTACTGACCAGAGGCAGAACCGTGTCGGAGACGGTGGCAAAAGATGAGCCCCTCAGCTGGGAAGGGGCTCAAAATGTGCCCGAGGCAGAGCTGCCTTCTCAAAGCAGAGTTGACTGTAAGGACGAGGAGGGTGAAGTAAAGCTTGCCGGAGCAAAGCCTTAGAGACCTTCAGGTGCCGACAAGGCACCACTCACCACAAGAGAAAGACGCTACAAAGGCTATTGAGGAATGGGAGCGAGCACTGCTCTGGGAGGAGTAAATCGCTGGAATGGAATGCATAACGATGACTATTCTAGGCGTCAGTAAGCGGAAACGGACGGCTCCTGGCCATTCTGAATGAAAACACCATGCGTTTACTTTGCTGGGATTGACCCGATCAGGAGGAATGGCGTTGCAGGCAGCACCAAAAGGGCCATTCAAGATCGACCTGGGAATACAATGGTGTTGCTGACAGGATGCCAATGCGTCTACAAGGACACCCAATCAATGGAAATTATTCGGATTGATGTACCAACTACTAAAACTAGGGACTCAGAGACCCAAGAGCTGAACTGAAACAGAAACATTACACATATATATAATATTTATAGAGAGGGGAAGGAATGAGTTAAATGTTATTGATTAGATAAATAAAGTGTTACTAATTTCACCGTATTCTTTTCCGCTTTTAAAAATTTGGCTTCTAGAAGGTTTTAGATTTCGCTAGACTCCCGTCTATGCTTGACCCTCCTGGCCCTATCCCAGTGTACCAGCCACTCTGAATGTGCTCAGTGGCCACATGCAGAAAGGCGCTTTTTAGGGCCAGAGCTAAAGATGTCCTACCTTACACACACAAACACACACACACACCCTCACCAATGAGCAGCGGTTCCAGCCATCATGTTAAGAGTAAGCTAATTACATGTTTGACCCGGATGGCCTGAGAATGATGTTATCCAATCAACCTATGGCCCTTGGCAAAAAAAAAGAAAAAGAAAAGATTCCCTATCCCCGCTCTGGAGCAAAACTGGAGGCGTCAGGTGATCCAGTGACCCGAGCACTAACTGGAAAGCGGGCAGTTCAAACCCAGCAGCCGTTCCCGAGGGGAAAAACACGTGACAGTCGGCTTCGGTAATGGTCCAGCCCGGAGAGCCTGCGGGGCAGCTCGACTCTGTCCTGTCGGGGCACTGTGCGGTTGGAATCAGCTGGCAATGGTTTTGAGCAAAACTTTATGTCGGCCCATCCTATAAAACTTTCCTGGGCAGATTGTAGGCGACTCTCTCATCTTAGAAAAAACAATTTGTTGAAGAAATAGACCAAATAAATCAACTGTGATAAAGAGTAAAGACAAGTGTGAGTGAGGAGGTTAATTATGTATGATGAGAGCAGGGGTTGTGTAGTGGTTATGTGTTGGGCTGCCAACCACCAGACTGGCAGCTGGAAACCCACAGTTGCCCTGGTGGAGAGAGAGGAGGCTTCCTACCCCACACGGAGTTCCAGTCCCAGAAACCCACAGGAGCAGTTCTGCTACGTCCTACAGGGCTGCCGTGGGTTGGAAGTGATTTGATTGCAGTAAGTGGGTGAGAGGGTCCGAGCTTCACGGCGCATGCCACGGTGGCAGGTCAGAGAAGCAGTTGCGGGCAGCTTAGGGGGAGAGTTGTCCCCTTGACAGCTATTCCCACTCTATCTCATGCCTGATTGTGCAAACACATGAAATCCTTGCACGATCTGTTCCTAGCATTTTCAGGTCCATGATGATTAGATCAGAAGGCTTCCCCGCCCAGAGCTCCCAGACCCGTGGAGGTGGCAGGTAACGAGCAGAGACGAACACTTTATCTGGAGGCAGACAGTCCAGCCCATGCCTGACCTCTGAGGCGGGGCGGAGGGATTGACATGGTGCCGAGCCGGGCATGGCGAGGAGCTGCGTCCACTTACATGGCCTTGCCTGTTTGGAGACAAGTGCACCACTGGGTCCTGCCGCGTCAGTCTCCCACTGGGGCTCTCTCGGAAAGCCGGCAGCACCTTTGATACTGCGGGGAGGTGGCACGTCGGCTCTGGAATACAGCACAGGGCAGTAAGGTGCAGGCACTAGGTGGACAGGAGTACACGGTGATGAATGACGGCAGCTTGCCATTGCAGCTGTGGTGCACTGGCCAGCACACTCTGAGTTCCAGTGCGATGAGCTTGTCAAGAGTTGACACAGGGGACAGCACGTCAGGAACTCAGTGGCTGGTGGGGGAAGCTTGCAGCTGGTGAGTGTGTCACGCCATACACATCAGCAGAGCCAACCACCACCAAGCCACAGGCCATGAACAGTGTGGCAGAGGTGGGCATCCACTTGTGGTTTGGGGGACGGTTCAGAAGACAAGGGCTAAACTCAGGACATTCATTCACTGCAATGGCCGGCTACCCTAGCTTTGTCTACATCCCCTAGACAGGCAGGGATGCAATCACGTGTTACTTACCATGACACTTTGGAAAGATTTTACCTGTGTATTCATGCTGCTCGAGGACAAAAGAATTGAAATCCTGAAGTCCTCTATAACTGTAAGCTAAGCACAACAGAAAAGACACATAGCAACTAGTTTACTTAAAACAATTGCTCCTTTGGGACTCCGCGGGCATTACTATGGGGTTCCAAAGGCGGAAGGCAGGTGACTTAACGCTCCTGTAACTGTGAGCGACAGGTCTGGACTTCTGCAACGCCTTTCCTAACGGGTAAGGGACTGGGCAATACACGCTTGGACTCCTGGCCATTTCCAAGAGCAGAGAGGCAGAAGGACAAACACGGAGGGACAACGAAGAGCGAGCCCATTGAGCAAGACGCACACCTGATCTCCACTGCCAGTGGGGTACCGGTTTGCCAGACACGTGGGGGCCAGGGGGGTTCCCGGTAAGAGCCTTCTACAAGTCATTAAGAGGATTCTGTTCTTACAAACTGAGCGCCAGAAAGCCAGTGCTTTATACCCCCAATCTAGTGAGCTGACGCAGGAGAACTCCGACGAGGCCTCTTGAATTGTCCTCCGCATGTGTCTGCACCCACTCAAACCCGCTGCCGTCAGGTTGACGCCCAGTCACAGGACGGAGCAGAGCTGCCTCGGTGGGTTTCCAAGACTCGGCAGCTGTACAGGCGCAGCCAGTCTCGTCTTTCTCCCTTGCAGTGGCTGGTGGGGTTGAACCACTGACAGTGCAGCTGGCAGCTCAATCCAGAGCTCCCTATGCCGCCAGAGCTCCTTACGTCCACTAGGCCCCTGATTTCTTCCCATGTGTCAAGTGCGGAAACCAGGGATATTCTCCTGTCATGGTGGGGTATCAAACCTGGGACGCATTTATTTTAGGTGAACATATTCCTAGCCTCAGACTTCCGGATGGAGAAAGGCGACCACTTACACGCGGTGGTGAAACGGCTCCTCTGGCCGTGTTGAGATTAGGAATATTATGAGTCCAGAAAAGCACACATCCCTAAGAGGATGAGCAAATGTGTTAGAAAGATTAAACCGTATTAATTTGAGGGTCTCCTCTATTAAAAGCAGGATGCCACTAAATTAAAGTGGATACGAGGGAGCAGAGGGAGGTGTGTGTGTGTGTGTGTGTGTGTGTGTGTGTGCGCGCGCGCGTGCACATACGAGAATGAACACAGGCTGAGGACGAACCTCATAATTATCCTTTCCAGGCCCCAGATGCATTTCCATGCCTCTTATGGCTTTGTGGAAGTGGGAAGTATGACACTGCGCGTGCACAAAGGGTTTGCTGCCAGCTTTGTTCAAAGCTTGCCCTGGGAGCCAGAGAAAGCTGCTATAGTCGTGCAGAACACGGGGTTCTTTCTATTTGTGGTGTTACCATCTCAATGGACCAAAACACAGGGGACTGGAAACATTCTGTCCAGAGCAGAACATGGTTCACAGCCTCCCAGGTTGGCAGGGGTGGGGGCGGTGGGGGAGGAGAGTGGGAGGGGGCAGATGCTGTTGTGACGTTGTGGGGACGGTACTGGAGCAAGGCACATCTTTAGAGCCTGGGAACCGCATTTCTCTCCCTCAACCCTGGCGCCACACCCTCTCCACCGCCTCGACTCCCTCCTCTGCTTGCAGTCACTGCCTGTCCATGAGCCCATCTCCAATACGGGTGAAACCCGCCATATCTGCCGAGAGGACAAAAAGGTAGGGTGCTTTGTCCGGGAAGATGATCTTGTTCCGCCCTACAATTGACTTCGTCCTATAGGAAGGAGCCCTGGTGGCATGGTGAGCTACTCCTTGAGGTCACTGGTTAGGTCCCACCAGCTGCTCCCAGGGAGGAAGACGAGGCTTTCTACTCCCATCAAGGGTCACAGTCTCAAACTCCCCCAGGGGCAGTTCTACCCTGTCCTCTAGGGTCCTTGTGGGTAGGAATCAGCTCCCACATGGTGTGGGGGACAGGAAAGAGTGGTCCAGAGGCAAGCCCCTGGCGCTCACACCACACCCGGGATGCTGCTGTCTCAAAGACACAGTGTTATCCTATCAAGGCGTGCGTGGCACGGAAGAGAGAAGAGGGAGGGACTAGAAGTCTGAAATCCAAAGGAGGGCTCACGAATGCAAACCTTTCCCATGCAGCTGTATGTGCTGCGAAGCACTTCCTTAGCTGGCAGCTTAATAGCAGAGAGCAAAGAGGGGTGGGTGGGTGGTTTAAAATGGAGGAAAGAGATTCTAACCAAGCCACAGACATGACTCTTTAAAAAAAAAATAATAACTCTTTTCCCTCCAATGATCAGTTTTTAAAAACCCAACATTAAGAAGATCACCATGCATTTACACTAGGCAAAACAACAAACAAACAAACAAGGGGGAGGGAGGTACTCAGGTCACAGAAGGTAGCCTTTTAATCTCAGAGCTGAAAAATCCGTCCTTTCTCGTCTTAAACACAGGGTCACTGGAGACCCAGGCTCAGGCCTCAAGGGTTGCTTTTCCTTATAAGTCACCCCTCTGAGACTTCCTGTTACTTCATCGGGGCCACGGGGGCTCTGCTACACCACAGGAGGCTGCAGGGGGTGGCCTGAGTCGCCTTGGAGTAAGAGCGACTTGCTTTCTTGACGGAGCTACTCACCCATCTGGTCAGCAATGCTGTCTTCGCCCCTTTGCCAGCTGGGCGTGGATTTCCCGCTGCCACTGAGGTCTGACTGCGTGTTCTGCCGGTCGATGGAGGCCGGGGACCTGCGGCTCACTCCGAACCTGTAGGAGGCCCCCCAACAACGACAAAGAGGACTTCAGAGACTCCTCCACCAAGGCGGACCGTCCCGGGGGCAGTGGACTAAATTCTAACCTCAGCTCCTGCTAAGCAGCCTTTGCTTCTCTGTCTGTACTTGCCTGGGTGCACAGGGACAAATATGTACACGCTGTGTCAGTCTCCATTGCCTATTTGTTGAGAAAGGCATGCAGACCAGGTAGGCAAATGAACAGGACTGACGAGGGTCATGCCGAGGGACTGAGCTAACCCATGATGTGTGGAGTGACACGCCAAACCCTGCTAGGCCGGCAGAAGCAGGTTCTGGCTGCCATTCCCAGCTGAAGGAAACCTGCCACGAGCTCAAGGCTCCCCATGTGGTTTCCAACGGGTGGGGAACCTTGGGGCTGTTTCTCACAGCGGGGGTAGTTTATCATAGCACGAGGTCATGCATTCTTGGACACGTACCCTAGGAGCACTCGCACTGGGGTCATGTATCATTTAGATAAAACGGAGCCCACTTTCAACTGGTACACACTTTAAACCACTGTTGGGAAGGGCAATTTAAAGTCCGTGAACTGGCAAATGACTACTTCTGGGAAGAACATTTAGTCATCAACTTAATCAGTTTTACTTTCCCCTGTGCGAACACTAATAATATGATAGGTGCTTAATTAAAAAAGGTGCCCGGATTAACAATACCAGCCAAGTTAATATTGACGCCCAGTAAAAGGGGGGAAGGCGTGTGAAACGGAAACCTTCAGGTAGGAATTCACAGCAGCATGTCTGCTTACTAAGCAATGCACGAACAAGCTTCACAAGAAGGCGGGACAGAGCCCGAGTTCATGACCCATGGAGAGAGCGGTGTTCTTGCTCCCAAGACCCTGGGATCGATTCCGGCTCATACCACACCCTACAGGACAGAGAAGAACTGGCCCCTATGGGTTTCCAAGGCTGTCGATCTTTACGGGAGCAGAAATCTTCAGCGCTGTCCTGTGGAGCAGACAGGGGGAATGGAACTGCTGACTTTGTAGTTAGCACCCCAACTTGCAACCCACTGTGCCACCAGGGCAACCTGTCTAACTTGCCTGAGACTGATAATCCCAGCGGGGGTGGGGTGGGGTGTCAACTGGAAATAGCAGGGGGTTAGGAGTAGGGAAACTAGGAACTAAATTCCAACTCCACCATCCAAAGAGGCCCAGAGCAAAATCACCAAACATTGACCGGTGCTTCCTTGTGGTTAAGATGGCAAGTCCATGATACGAACCCAGGGAAAACTATATTAAAGCCTTCAACACTAGAACAGTCTAGAAAATAGTTATAATTATGTAAGTCCTAGTCCAGCATCTCCCAATCATTTTCCCCACAACTAATATTCATGTACATAAAAGAAGCTCACTATACAAAGTTAGTGCCATATATAGAATTGTAGTCATTCTTACAAGAATCTCGATTTATAAAAACTTCAGTATGTCTCATTAAAAAATATATATCATAAATTGTTTTGCCATATTCTCCCCAAGGAGCGTCCTCATTTAGTTTAGAACAGTGGATATCGTCAAACTGGTGCTATGTCCCTATTCTAAAGGGCACAGCACTGAGACCTGAATTTCGGCATGGACACCCACGTGCACGCTCCCTGCCTCTTTGTGCTGGAGCACGGGGACCAGAAGATCCTGTCCTTGAGAAGCTCTGACAAGACTTGATCCTCCTTTCAATGCGCTTCATCCTATCTTTCTTGCGAGCATGTGGTCATTTGAGTCACGCTTCAGACTGAAATGGGCTTGTCAGGAATCACTTGGCTGATCGTGAAACACGCTCAGAGCATCTTTATCTAGTCTCTGCTTGACTGCGGCCCATCGCCAGCAGCTCTTGGCTTCCGGCCGCTTCCTCATGAGGGGCTGGGTTCCCCTTCTCCAGGGTCTCCGTGCCATCATCTCCCAGTGCACTTGCAGGAGCCCGAAGAAAGCCACCACGCCCTCCTCGCCTCAACTGCTTGACCTCAGGTGGGTTAGACTCCCTCACTACGCTCTCACCACAAGGCCCCGACTCGCTTCATTTGCCCAGTCCCCTCTGTGGGTGTGTCCCACCTTGTCAACATTCCTCAAAGTGTGTGGCCGCCAAGCCAATCGCCAAGGGACAGGAGACTAGGTCCTAGGTAGGGTTTTTAAACAGTTACTTTTTTTTAAAACTACCTCTCTTGCCCATCCTCACCTTGTGCAGGCATGTTTTTCCGTCGCTTGAGTGGAACAGGTATTAGGAACCACCCTACTGAATTTCAACTTGCAACTGAAGAGTCTTAGTGTCCCCACACAGGGAGTGGACAGGCGCCCATGCCGCAGGGGCTGAGCCCAGGAGGGAAGAGGGCAGCGTCATCTGTGCCTGCACAAAAACTAAGTCCGTACCCATGGTTTTGAGGTCAGGCCACTGAGCGTTTGAAACTCCGCACAAATGAGTTTGCAGCATCCATCCCAACCTCAATGTCAGCTGGTACATAGCTGTTTCTACTGGAGGAGGTCGTAGACACATAACCATTGTTCCCTCAGAAGGGGCCCTGGTGGTGTAATGCGTTCTCCATTGGACTGCTAACCACCAGGTCAGCAGTTTGAACCCACCAGCTGCTGTGGGAGAGAAATGAAGCTTCTGCTTTCCGTAAAGATGTCTAGGCTTTGAAACCATAGGAGCACGTCCACCCTGTCCTACAGGTGGCAATGAGTCGAGCTGGTCTCGACGGGCAGCCGTGAGTCAGAGAAGCTTTAAGACCAACCTCAGGTCTCTTGAATCACTGATACAAAAACTACTTGGGAGGGAAACAGTGACTCCATCTTTTTGTAAAAGATTAGTTCAACTTGGGGAGGAGGGCATGGCGAAAAACACGGGGTAACTTCTTAAACGGTGAGGACACTCTCAATACCACCCGTAGGACGTTCAACCTCAAAGCACCAAACTGAATAGCTACTTACTCATTAAAGAAAAAGACCGTGCAGCCCGGGCCCTGCACGGGCTCAGCTTTGCGCTCGAAGTCGAGCACAGGCAGAAGAGCAGGCACTCCAGCGCACCTGGAGTTGGTGCCCCTGCAGTCGCCCTTCAACACGAGGACTCCAAGGAAAGCCAGGCTATTTAGAAATCTACTGATGAAGATGGAAGCACTTAGTGGGGCTTGTGGTGCGCTACAAGGACACCTAAAGGCTTTTGCCGGGGGGTGGGGTGGGGGGGTGT